AGATATTGTTTTTTTTGGGCCCCTGGTTGTGAAGTAGGGCAATGAACAGGCAGACCTGCTGCGCGGTCAGCAGTATATGACCTACCAATTTCCTATCGAGGTGTTCCATTTCTGGACTATTTTGCTGCAATAGCTACCCACCTTCGCACCGTTGGCAACAACGTTGGCAACTCTGCTCGGTAACAAACTTCATTCTATTAAACCGAGCATAGGTTACTGGCCGTCTTCTTGTCATCAGTGCCGAGGTTGGGAGACCACTCTCTCCCGCCTTCGCATTGGCCACACTCGTCTTACTCATGGGTATCTCATGGAGAGGCACCCTGTTCCTCTCTGTGAGCAGTGTCAAGTTCCAGTATCGATTAGCCACATTCTGTTAGACTGCCCTCTCTATCAACGAGCACGCAGAATTTACCTCCAACGTCGTCTTCGTTCTCCTACTCTCTCTTTACCTTCCCTTCTTGCTGATGGACCCTCCTTTAATCCTGACTCTCTCATTGACTTCTTGACAACGACTGATTTACTCCACAAACTCTGATGATACTTTTCGCACTCCCCTCAGCCCTTTCTGGTTCAGTCTCTTGCTGCCCTTTACCCTTTCACCATCCACTGCCCCGCTGTTATCCGTAACCTGTTGCTCATCCATCTCCCTTTTGCCACCTGATGCCCTCGCTTCCTTCCTGCCCTGCAGCGCTGTATAGTCCTTGTGGCTTAGCGCTTCTTTTTGATTATAATAATAATAATAATAGACTGGAGAATACACTAGACCTCATCTTCACTAACAATGATGATCTGATAAGAAATGTCACCATATCAAAAACAATATACTCAGATCACAACATAATTGAGGTTCAGACATGTATGCGTGGAGCCCCAGACCGACATTGTGACCAGGCCTCCTGGTAGATCAGAGCCTGATCAACCAGGTTGTTGCTGCTGGCTGCATGCAAACCAACGTACGAGCCACAGCCCGGCTGATCAGGAACTGACTTTAGGTGCTTGTCCAGTGCCAGCTTGAAGACTGCCAGGGGTCTGTTGGTAATCCCCCTTATGTGTGCTGGGAGGCAGTTGAACAGTCTCGGGCCCCTGACACTTATTGTATGGTCTCTTAACGTGCTAGTGACCCCTGCTTTTCATTGGGGGGATGGTGCATCGTCTGCCAAGTCTTTTGCTTTCGTAGTGAGTGATTTTCGTGTGCAAGTTCGGTACTAGTCCCCCTAGGATTTTCCAGGTGTATATAATCATGTATCTCTCCCTCCTGCGTTCCAGGGAATACAGGTTTAGGAACCTCAAGCGCTTCCAGTAATTGAGGTGTTTTATCTCCGTTATGCGCGCCGTGAAAGTTCTCTGTACATTCTCCAGGTCGGCAACTTCACCTGCCCTGAAAGGTGCCGTCAGTGGGGCAGCAATACTCCAGCCTAGATAGAACAAGTGACCTGAAGAGTGTCATCATGGGCTTGGCCTCCCTAGTTTTGAAGGTTCTCATTATCCATCCTGTCATTTTTCTAGCAGATGCGATTGATACAATGTTATGGTCCTTGAAGGTGAGATCCTCTGACATTATCACTCCCAGGTCTTTGACGTTGGTGTTTCGCTCTATTTTGTGGCCAGAATTTGTTTTGTACTCTGATGAAGATTTAATTTCCTCATGTTTACCATATCTGAGTAATTGAAATTTCTCATCGTTGAACTTCATATTGTTTTCTGCAGCCCACTGAAAGATTTGGTTGATGTCCGCCTGGAGCCTTGCAGTGTCTACAATGGAAGACACTGTCATGCAGATTCGGGTGTCATCTGCAAAGGAAGACACGGTGCTGTGGCTGAATCCTTGTCTATGTCGGATATGAGGATGAGGAACAAGATGGGAGCGAGTACTGTGCCTTGTGGAACAGAGCTTTTCACCGTAGCTGCCTCGGACTTTACTCTGTTGACGACTACTCTCTGTGTTCTGTTAGTGAGGAAATTATAGATCCATCGACCGACTTTTCCTGTTATTCCTTTAGCACGCATTTTGTGCGCTATTACGCCATGGTCACACTTGTCGAAGGCTTTTGCAAAGTCTGTATATATTACATCTGCATTCTTTTTGTCTTCTAGTGCATTTAGGACCTTGTCGTAGTGATCCAATAGTTGAGACAGACAGGAGCGACCTGTTCTAAACCCATGTTGCCCTGGGTTGTGTAACTGATGGGTTTCTAGATGCGTGGTGATCTTGCTTCTTAGGACCCTTTCAAAGATTTTTATGATATGGGATGTTAGTGCTATTGGTCTGTAGTTCTTTGCTGTTGCTTTACTGCCCCCTTTGTGGAGTGGGGCTATGTCTGTTGTTTTTAGTAACTGTGGGACGACCCCCGTGTCTATGCTCCCTCTCCATAGGATGGAAAAGGCTCGTGATAGGGGCTTCTTGCAGTTCTTGATGAACACAGAGTTCCATGAGTCTGGCCCTGGGGCAGAATGCATGGGCATGTCATTTATCGCCTGTTCGAAGTCATTTGGCGTCAGGATAACATCGGATAGGCTTGTGTTAATCAAATTTTGTGGCTCTCTCATAAAAAATTCATTTTGATCTTCGACTCTCAGTCTGGTTAGCGGCTCGCTAAAAAACTGAGTCATATTGGGACTTGAGTAGCTCACTCATTTCCTTGCTGTCATCTGTGTAGGACCATCTTGTTTAAGTAGGGGCCCAATACTGGACGTTGTTCTCGACTTTGATTTGGTATAGGAGAAGAAATACTTTGGGTTTCTTTCGATTTCATTTATGGCTTTTAGTTCTTCCCGCGATTCCTGACTCCTATAAGATTCCTTTAGCTTAAGTTCGATGCTTGCTATTTCTCTGACCAGTGTCTCCCTACGTATTTCAGATATATTGACCTCTTTTAGCCGCTCTGTTATTCTTTTCCGTCGCCTGTAAAGGGAGCGCCTGTCTCTTTCTATTTTACATCTACTCCTCCTTTTTCTTATAGGAATAAGCCTTGTGCATACATCGAGTGCCACCGAGTTAATCTGTTCTAGGCATAAGTTGGGGTCTGTGTTGCTTAGTATATCTTCCCAGTTTATATCGGTTAGGACTTGGTTTACTTGGTCCCACTTTATGTTTTTGTTATTGAAGTTGAATTTGGTGAATGCTCCCTCGTGACTAATCTCATTTTGTCGGTCTGGGGCTCCACGCATACATGTCTGAACCTCAATTATGTTGTGATCTGAGTATATTGTTTTTGATATGGTGACATTTCTTATCAGATCATCATTGTTAGTGAAGATGAGGTCTAGTGTAGAGCATATTATTTGTGTATGTTACTAGGTATAATAATTGCTGGTTTATTGGCGGTCAGTATAAACAGCATGGTTGATCAGGTCCTGATCCACCACCCACGAGGCCTGGTTACGGACCGGGCCGCGGGGGCGTTGCTCCCCGAAACCCCTTCCAGGTATACTTTACCCCTCCAGGTATGTGTATTTGTTTCTAAATAAATTTACTTATTCCTCTTTTTTATATATTTTGTTCACCTCCAGTTATCTCTGTTGACTTGAAAAAAAAAATAAAAAAAAAAAAACATTAATGGGCTGTGTATGTCCCAGCTTGTTAGAGCTTCACTAAGCTGGTGGTTTAGCGCTTCCTTTTGATTATAATAATTCACTAAGCTGGTAAATGTCGCTAAAGTGTGGCATATTTAAATGAAAAGTTTCACTTCTGTCTTCCCCAGCCTGGGTATGCTGCACGACGGCTATGGTAACTCCTGCCCCAAGAATGGCTACATTATGTCTGCCTCTCGCTCCACCAGTGGTGAGACCAACTGGTCTTCCTGCTCCAGGGAAGTCCTCGAAAAAAACAGGTAATATCTTCAATTATTAGTAGCATTATATTTAGAGGAGACGTTAAAAATATAGGGATCATACAGCGACTGGGAAATGGGAGGCAATCGGGTTCAATTACTCAAATGAAGAGTCCCTAAGCAGCACCAAGTAACCTCCCTCGAGCAGGTACAGGAATCTACACAACGCTGGTTCACAAATGCATTTTGCATCTTTCAGTTTGTAGCTCTAATCCTACCGGAGCTTATTGACATGTTAATAAGAACTGACAATATACCTCGGCTCCTTTAAAAACTCTAAGGCATTCGAACGCCCTAACTTGGATACCACAGTAGTAGTGGGCTTACATTAGGTACCTACTTACTGTTAGGTGAATAGGGGCAACAGGTGTAGGGAAATATATCCAGTGTTACAATACATGCCAGGATTGAACACCTGTCATTAAGTGTGCACTGAGTATGCAACCACTTGAGCCATGAGCCACATATTAATAAGTGCTAAACTTATAAAGGTTATGCAGCACCTGGTAAATGGGTGGTAATTTGGCTTGATCCCAGGAAGATGATGGTAACACCGATTCCCTGGATCAAGAACCCTTCACCAGCCTCAGTCCACCCCTTAAAAGAGTATCACGTGAAAATTTGTTCAGCTCTTCAATACTACATTTCGTGCAAACTTTATTACATATTAATTAGATAAAATATTGTGTTTTACCCTTCAAAGGAGAAGCATATGCCTTGATTCCTGCGAAATAACTCTTGATCCAGTTAATTATATATACAGTGGACCCTCAAACAACGATATTAATCCGTTCCACAGAGCTTATCTTAGGCGAATTTATCGTTAGTCGAATTGTCCCCATAAGAAATAATGGAAATCCAATTAATCCATTCCAGACAGCCAAAAGTATTAAAATTTTTTTTTTTTTCATGAAATATACATTTCCCTACAAAGAAAACAATGAGACATGCACAATAACTACATAAATAAATGTTAAAATGACACTTGCCTTTATTGAAGAGTACTGATGAGTGATGAGACACTATTTCTTGAACACCCTGGGATTTTCAGAGTGGTACACGAGTAAAGGCTGAAGCCTTTACTTGTATATTACAACAAAACATGAGAGTTAGCCTGTCTTTCATAGGCTTGTGTCCTGGGAGTGCCTTTTCCTCCTGAGTAATGTAGGTCCTGTTTGGCATTTTCTTCCAGAACAGGCCTGTTTTGTCACAATTGAACACTTGTTGGGGTTGGAAATTTTCAGCTTCACCATGCCTTATCACACTGTGTATGCCACTAGGTTTCTTAAATCTCTCAAACCAACCTTTGCTGGCCTTAAATTCACCAATATGAGCACTAGTTCCAGGCATTTTTTCCTGTTCACCTGGGTTAGTAGACTGGTGTGGGTCGCATCCTGGGGGACAAGATTAAAGACCCCAATGGAAATAAGTTAGTCCTCGATAATGCACTGACTTTCTTGGGTTATCCTGGGTGGCTAACCCTCTGGGGTTAATTGTTTATCGGTAATTGTTTCTCGTTAAGCCACACCAAAAACACTCTCTCCACATCTTCAAGTAGTACAGCTGATGGTGGTGGAGCACCAGCTGATGGTGGTGCAGCAGCAACAGCTGACTGTGGTGCAGCAGCAGCTGACCGTGGCACGATAGTATTTCTCACCCTTTTTACCACAGGGTTGGCACTAGAAGCTTTCTTTGGGCCCATGGTGGCTTATTTAGCAGTTACAAGCGCTAAAAACAATGAAATAATACAAAATTTTTCGAATATGAATGGAACCGGCCACCCTGGCTTGTAAACAATGACGGCAGGGGCAGCTGAGGTGCTCAGGCTGGACAGACAGGTTCGGAACAAATCACGTTGGTAGGGCCAAAATTTTTACTCTCAAACGCTTCGTTGGACGAATTTATCGTTAGACGATGCCTTCGTTGGCCGAGGGTCCACTGTACTCTTTCATTTCCCTTTTAGCCAATGGAGAATCAGTCCTCCATCACTCGTCAAGCTCTATGATCCATAGGGGTCATTCAGCTTCACACAAAGAAATTAATTAAATTCCCCCTTGTGCAATGACCCCTACAGATTTAGCACTTCTCCATGTGTAAACAACATACTTTACGCTTTTCTTAAAACACACCCATACCTTAATTTGTTTGAACTGAACTATCAGTATGTATTACACAAATAATGAATCTCATGTTCCAACTTTTAACTTTCTAAGATCTATCAGACACCTTCATATGTCATCCACACTGCCAGAAAGCTGAGCAGGGACAGTTGCTACTTGTGAACTCTTTGTAATGGTTTGTTTGTTTAATAGCGCACCATGTTTGAACGAAGTGACAGAGGAGAGCCACAGACATGACCATACTAAGTTTGAGCAACTGCCAGGGCAAACATGGGATGCGTATGACCAGTGCCGCATCTTCCTGCGAGATGAGGAAGCTACACTCTACAACGAGACTCTTGATCAGGTGATCAAATCTCTCCTGCTGCCATGTATTTCTATAGTTTGTATGTGCATACATGTTTAAATTATGGTTTGTATGTGTATATGTACATGTTTAATTATAATTATTGTTTAAAGATTTGCTAAATCTGTATGAATTATACAGCACAAGCTTGTACAGTATTATTATAATCATAACTAAGTGCTAAACCCACAAGGGTCATACAGCATTGCACAAGAGTGAAAACAATTAGTGTCAAAGTAGATGCAATAGGTTAGTTTCTGTTTGAGTAAAATAGTAAGTCTGTGGTGAAGGAGGGACTTAGGGCAAGGAGGTCAGTTAGAGTGAGAGCGTTGGAGCATTTCACTTGTTCATGATACGTAAATTCTGAGTGCTTTCTGACAAACTACTAATATATAGTGAACAAAGCTCAACCTTGCTGCCTTTACAGAAGGGTGCTAGGCATCTTTCCATGTGGTATTTGCTCAAGTCGAGTATGTACGCATTTGATTCATAATCACGAGATCATAGTTTCCCATACTCGACAGTAAACAAAAGAAGATTGCTGTGGACCCAACTGAATGGTTTGATGGAAAGTAATTTATTGTTCTTTAACCCGGATTAATGTTGTTTTCAGTGACTTCAAAGTTTGGAGACTACTAGAAATAGTCCGAGAAAGTGAGTTCCCTGTCAGAGACTGGCAGGCTGTGAATGGCTGAGTGGATTTGTCTGTAAGTTCTATGCTCTGAACATCAGTGTGTCAGGGACCCAGCAAAAAACTATTTATTTGCTAAAAAAAAAAACATTGTCATATACAAAGTACAATAAGTACAATGTGGCACCTCAATTACTGTACTCCTTGGAACACAAGAGTCAGTACCTGGCCTGCCGGGCTGTGGTTCATATGTCAGTTTGCATGTGGCCAGGAGTAACAGCCTGGTTGAGCAGGCCTTGATCCACCAAGAGGACTCATCATGGACCAGGCAACGGGGGCATTGACCCCCAGAACACCCTCCAAGTATACTCCAGGAAGTTGGAAACAATGAATGAGGAGGTGGCCATAGCTGCAATGTTTATGATAGTGACAAGTATTATACATAACTCTGTTGTGAATATGATAATTCACAAATGTCCTTGGATTACTCGATCTGAAAGAAGCAACCACATGCCCTACTCCACCTGAGGATTTCTAACTGTTGGCATACATGGCAAAAGAATGAAAATGTAATTCAAAGCATTCAAGAAAGAGTGAGTGTTTGTAGCAGACATGAACTTTTGGGCATTGAAGGGAAGAGGAGAAAACTCAAGTCATCAGAACTTTCAAGGAGTAAGTGGGAAAAGTATTATACAGGATGAATGCAAAGGGAAATAAATTAATGTTAATAAAACTCAATGTACAGTGCCAGCACTCTGAAGGAGGGGTGTTAATGTTGCAGTTTTATAACTAGTGTCAGCATGCCACTGGCAAGACAGTGATGGAATGAACGATGAGTTTTTTCTTTCTCGGGCCACCCTGCCTTGGTGAGAAATGGCCATGTGTTAATAAAATAAAAAATAAAAGTTCATGTACAAATTAAAGATGCATAATAAATCTGATTGATGATTAAAAGAATTAGTTTACTTAAGTCAGTAATTATCATGTACATGGGAGTATTGTGAGGGTCATAGAAGCAGATAGGCATCTCATCAATCCTGCAAGGGGATGTTTGTCTCTGTATACAGGTTCTTGACTGGAGAAGACCAAAAAGCCTGAAACATAATCCTTGATAATGAATGGGATCAAGTTTAGAAAGATTAACTGGTGAGTTTAAGGAATATATGTTTGGTCTCTGTGATCTAGCTTTAACAATTTAGGGCTGCATGTGGGTTTATGTGAGACTTCTATGACCTTCAACAAGCAAAGAAAAAGAAAAGAAATTTGATTATCCCATTCTAAGATAGGGAAACTATACAGGTTGATCAGGCCCAGATCCACTGGGAAGCCTGGTCATGGACTGGGCCACGGAGGCGTTGATCCCTGGAATACCCTCCAGATAGGTATAATTTTATCAGTAAAAAGTTTTAAACCCCTAGGTAGTAGGTTGGTAGACAGCAACCACCCAGCCAGGTACTACTGTTCTGCCAAGTAAGTGTGAAACAGAAACCTGTAATTATTTTACATGATGGTAGGACTGCTTGTGTCTTTTTTCTGGCTCATAAACATACAGGATAACAGGTATATCTTGCTACTTCTACTTAGGTCACACTACACATGCATGTACATACATATATATTTACACATCCATCTGGGTTTTCTTCTTATTTTCTTAATAGGTCTTGTTCATTATTTCCTCTTATCTCCATGGGGAAGTGGAAAAGAATTCTTTCGTAAGCCATGAGTGTCGTAAAAGGCGGCTAAAATGCCCGGAGTAAGGGGCTAGTAACACCTTCGGTATTAATTAGGTCACCCTGCCTCAGTGGGATACAGCCAATTTGTTGAAAAAAAAAATTTAAACCATGCAAGATGACCCAGTTGAAAGCACAATCATTAGTATATTGAAGAGAGGTTACAAAGAGTCTGACAAGTGATAAAAAATACACAGTTGCAAAGAAGAATTTTATTGAGATGTTTCACTTGTGGAGCAGACTTCTTCAGTCAATACACAGGGAAACACAAAGAAATTTATACAACAAACATAGTTGGGCGAGTGGTCAGTGAGGTCCCTGTGTGGGTGAATGAAAGATGGGGGCACTGCAGGAAGCCTACCAGCTCTTTCAATAACCTGTTGATGTAAGATGAGTTTAGATTACGGTTTGGCTAATGTGAAAGTTCTTTCATTCTGTTAGATGTATTTTATGTACAGATCAGCAAAGCTTCCTGGCATCTGTCTTGTTTTGTCCATTTCTTTTTGACCACCAGGGTATTCTTCCAAGACATCATGTGTATAGGTTTTATTTGTTCAAACCATACCACGGGTAGGAACTGAACTCGTAGCGAGTCATAAAACTCAATCCCCATCCATGGTATGGTTTGTTTGCAATAGTGTCATTACAATTTCGTGACTTATTCATTCAAGTCCTGCAGGCACACAGATACCTCCAGTAGCTTACAGATCAGATTGGAGGTAATTTAAGGTGTTCAATCCCTTAGCTTTGATAGAAAGTACTGTATTCAGTTCCTCAGTCTTGATAGCAAGTACTGTATTCAGTTCCTCAGTCTTGACAGCAGGTACTGTATTCAGTTCCTCAGCCTTGATCTAAAGCAGACACACAGTAAAAATGTCTCGCCAATAAATACCCAGTTGCAGCATATGTGCCCTACTCATTAACTTGTTGGTATTGTATACCATTAATGTAATGGCCCTCACAGTGCTTTTCATGAATACAGCATTAACATTTAATACAAGACAAAGCTGTTTATGTTTGGGTGTTTAGAGTAAGAATTAAACTGTTACCATGGTTGCAGAGTGTATGCGCTTCAGTCATGTGTCGCAGTCCCAATCGCATCGGATACTTCAAGGCTGGACCTGCCCTAGATGGGACCTTCTGTGGCAACAAAAGTGTAAGTGATATTTAACTATTAACTATTGGTAATAAAAAATAATACCTTTTTTTTTTTTACACATCGACTGTGTCCCACTGAGGCAGTGGGACAGTGAGCCAGTGCTACAGTTAAAAAGCTGCAACATATCTCCACCCCTCCTTCAGAGTGCAGGCACTGTACTTCCCACCACTGAACCCAAATGGGTCATGTAGCAATGCTAACTATTCACTAGTATTTAACATTGTTCACATGTTACTCAGATCCCACACTCAAGACTCCCTAGCATTAACACACACAATCTTTACAGTGTGCTGTTGTGAAAAAGAGCCAAATATAATTTTGTAATTATAGTAATGTGGCTAATGATTAAGTAAATCCCCCATCTTATGGATTAAAATCCCTTGATGTTAGTGTCAAGGTGGGATGTGATATTAATATGGTATCTTAGTTGATAGATCCTAAAATTAACCCAATGCAGTATAATGGGAATTATCTAACAAGTGATTGTACTGCAAAGGGAATAAATCAAGATGAATGTTGTGTGTTGGAGTATCATAAGGATGTATCAGTAATAGATACTGTGTGTCAGTGGTGTATCGCAGGTGTGTGCACACGGTGGAGGATGGACACAGCACCCAGTGTGGTGGCCGGTGGGTGGGGAGACTGGCACCACAACCAGTGCACCTCTGGCTGTCTCTTCAACGCTCGTGGTGTCGAGGTGAGTCCTCACTCACACCTCATTTTATTCCTGATTCTATATAACAAACAATGAAAATATAGAATTCAAATGTTAAAATGAAGAAGGCAAGCTTGGACCATTTGAAACAAAACTGGAATACTGTGTACAAATAAAGTAGAACAGATGTACATACAGCATTATGTACATACTGCAGGTTTCACAGCGCACCTGTTCGAATCCCAAGCCCAAGAACACTATTGAGCGCTGCCAGGGCGTCTCCACCCTCCTCCATACCTGTGACGATCAAGAGGTAACCCATTCATCCCTACAACAATCGCCACAATAAATATACATTAGCATAACTATTAACCCTTAAACTGTTCAAACGTAGATCTACGTTGACATGCGTAGCGCTCCAACCTTTATTTTCACCATTTGAAAGCGTGTAAAATTGGACATAGATCTATGTTCGGAGCACTATGCATGTCAATGTAGATCTACGTTTGGACAGTTTAAGGGTTAATGAACATCATGATAATTATATACTTTAAGCATTTTTCAATGTGTTAGTATAGCCAGAGTATGAGTACACCTACCATCCGACTTACGACCTACTCGACTTAAGAACGTAAGAAAGGAACACTGCAACAGGCCTGTTGGCCCATACTAGGCAGGTCCTTTACAATTCATCCCACTAACAAAACATTTGACCAACCCAATTTTCAATGCTACCCAAGAAATAAGCTCTGATGTGCAAGTCCCACTCAAATCCAACCCCTCCCACTTGTGTACTTATCCAACCTAAATTTGAAACTACCATGTTTTTTTACGCCAGATTTCTGGGAAATAAAGAACCGTTTGTGTTGTACACAGTGTTTATCCTAAACCTTTTGGTATAAAATACAGTACTAACAGCATAAAAAGTAAAGTAAAAAATTAAATACCAAAATAAAACAATAAAATAAGATCATTACAAAAGTGTGTTGTTGATGTTCAGTAGTAATGTTTGACTTACGTCCATTTTGACTCGTGACCGGTTGGTCGGAACCAAGCTTGGTCGTAAGTCGGATGGTACCTGTCCTCATAAGAGTTGCAGAAATGTTTATTTTTTAAAATATTCTTATATTTGTTTTATATTAATAAATTTAAGAAATACAATAAGAATAAAATAACTGGTTTACAGTGAAACATAATGAATAAAACAGTATACTATATGCAGCATAAATTGGTAGGGTAATAACACTGCTTTACGTTAATGCAAGGCATGTGTCTGCGTGTGTGTGTGTATGCAGGTATGCAAGGGACGCAGGATGGCAGTGACAGAGTATGCTGACAAAAAATGCAATGAGTTCTCCACAGTGGTGACTGACCTCCAGCCCATCGGTGCTCAGGCACCCCACAACCCAGGTGAGCATCAGTCGGTGCCACTAGACTTATACTGCCTCTAACACATCTGCACCTCCACCACCACACTCATTCCATTACCACCACCTCAGTCATAATTATGACAATGAAAGAAAGACAATACAATCATTTTAGGGCATGTTTAACGGAAAAGTTTCATTTTTGGGACCTTGGTCATTCCGAATGTGCATAAGAGTGGGAAAAACATTAGCCTATATGTATAGTCATTAAAGCCCATGAGTAGAAAAGAGGTCCGGTAGTATATCACCTGACTGGTGTGTCCAGTGGCGGGTAAAACGAAGCTTGTATGATTATGTGTTCCAACATGGCGGTGATACTATAACTTTCTGCTTTTGTGTGACTGCTAGTTATAGTAGTAAGGGAAGCTTCTGAACAAAGGCATCTGTAGAGATTAGATTCTGTGAAAATTATGTATTGTAAGATTGTTTTTCCTACCTTTATGTTCCTCACATTTTGAGTGACAATAGTCCCAGGATGGAAATGTTTTCATTAAACATGTCCTAAAAGGATTACACTTTGTCTTTTCCACTACTTGTAAATATCACACGCAGTGCTTATATATTCATCTTATCATACATCAGTACTTAGTTTCTTCAGTGAGACTGATTTACTGAAAGTGTTGAATGATGAAAGATTTTTCTTTCTTTTTGAGTCACCCAGCCTCGGTGGGAAATGGCCATGTTAAAAAAAAAATTTAATACATTTAGCAATGTATTTTTTAATTATCATTAGTATATACACTGCATTGTGCTTGTTACATATGGTGTATGTAACATTTGTCAGGAACAAACATAAACAACTGTTCCTTGCTACAGTTCAGAATTACTTTTGTCCATCCCATAATTTTCTCATTGGTTCCATCATACTATACAATCTATTACATAAATTTGCACCTAGATAAGAGCAACAAATACAACAATATATGGTGGAAGCATGGGAAAATAGCCTCTTTGTGTTTATTCTTAAGTTGAACACCATTCTGTAAGCTTATAATATTTGACTGTATAATGCATTGTTTATGCTTGAAGTTATTTACTGCGGATTTATACTTTAAATGCAATTAACCTAAATGATGATATTGTAGCTGGAATAATTCAGAAATAACCCTCACTTAAGAGAAGAAACTTTAAATAATATTTTGTTCCTTCTTAGAGCATTATCAAGTCACAATTGAGTAAGAAAAAGCAGAGAAGACCATAAGACAGGTCAGAAAGAGGGAGGGGGAAAGATGGTAGCAGCAGCAGTAGTAGTAGTTGTTGCTGTAGTAGTAGTAGTAGAAGCAGTAGTAATAGAAACAGTAAAAATCATGTTGGTAGTAATGATAAATTGCATCTCAAAGGGATGGAAAAGCAAGTAATCCCACCCTCTAACATAAATCCCCAAGGGGCTCACAAAAGAACAAAAAAAAAAAAAAAAAAAAAAAGGCACTGTAAAAAGTCTGATCATCTACGCTAGGAAAGAGAGAAGAAACAATTAGAGCAAAAGTTAGAAGACAGGGAAGACATAGGAAATAGAAATACAGAAGACAGATTAAAACAAAGTGAAGGCAGAAGTCATTTGAAGTTTTCTCTGTAAAGTGTGGGTTATATGTGAAACTTAATGACATACAATATGGTACTGTATTGTAGTTAAGCAAAATAGTTTAATCCTTGAGAGTTCAGGTCGTCAGTGGCAGGCATGCGCCATCTTCTGCAAACGAGCTTCAGGAACATGGTACTCACCTAGAACTGATCTCAGCTACTTGCCACATTTTGACACCTACTTTCCTGATGGTACTCCATGCCATGAAGAAACTGGAAAGCAATTCTACTGCCAGCGCCATCAGTGTCTTCCTTTGGTCAGTTAATGGTTCTTATTCAGTAACATTATATTCAGGGGAAAGTGCTCAATCCATAAGGGTCATATAGAAGCCTGGGAATGACAGGTAATCACATCTGATCCATGAAAAGGGAAGGCAAGAGACTTTCACCAGCAGCAACACTCCTCCTTTGAAAAATAATCTATAATACCTTTGTGATTACATTTCTACCAGAGGTGCAAATATCAATATCCTTCCAGACTTAAAGGTTTTAAGGTTTTTTCTTGATTCTTGACAGTGCATATTATATAATTTTAAGATCAATATAATTTGTTCACTCGTGTGTTAAACAGGGGGAACGAGAAGCCAAGTTCCTGCAGAATCCCGACCCAGAGTGGGATGTTCATGTGTACCAAAATGCTCCACCACAACCTTCCAACAATACTGTTCCTGTGCAGGTGACCAAAATTTTCGAGCTCACCAAAAATATGGCTCCACTTCAGGTAAGATAGTGTTATTCCATCCTTCATTTGTGATCAAACCATTCAACAGCCATCTGCTTTTTGACCTGTGCCTTTGAAAGCACCACAGACTTCAAATTTATTAATTCTTCATTCTCTGCAAAATATTCTTCACAACACACACTAATCTGACATGGCAGTACCACTGCCTCCAGCTTCCTCCTTCCTTTAACATTCAGAGACTGTGCCTAACACCTATACATGTGTTGGCACCACTATATTTTAACTAGTAGCTCTGGCAAGAGTAAAAGTACTTCTTCTTTCAACAAACCGGCTGTATCCCAATGAAGCATTGGGATACACAAAAGTTTCTCTTTTTAACTTTAGTAATGCATACAGAAGGGGTTACCAGCCCCTTGCTCCCGGCATTTTAGTTGCCTCTTATGACACGCATGGCTTACTGAGGAAGAATTCTGTTCCACTTTCCCATGGAGATAAGAGAAAATAAACAAAAACAAGTAAGAAAATAGAAGAAAACCCAGAAGGGTGTGTATACATATGCTTGTACATGCATGTGTAGTGTGACCTAAGTGTAAGCAGAAGTAGCAAGATGTACCTGAAATCTTGCATGTTTATGAGACAGAAAAAAAGACACCAGTAAACCTACTATCATGTAAAACAATTACAGGCTTTCGTTTTGCACTCACTTGGTAGTATCTCCCTGGGCAGTTGCTGTCTACAAACCTACTACCTAGAAGTATTTCTACTGAATCTATTATGCAGATACAAAAAATGAGCAAATTATATTGAAGTTAGCATACAATTTAGACAAACTACACAAGACAAAATGTTTAATAAAACATCTGAATTATAGTTTAGCTCTTATTCATGTGGTTATATTCTTGTCTTGTGGTTATATGCTGGTGTCTTTTGTCTGTCTCATAAATATATAATATATGCAAGATTACAGGCATGTCTTGCTACTTCTACTTACACTTAGGTCACACTACACATACATGTACACGCTTATTTATACACACTCATCTGAGTTTTCTTTGATTTTATCTTAATAGTTCTTGGTCTTATTACTTTTCCTTTTATATCCATGGGGAAGTGGAATAAGAATCTTTCCTCCGTAAGCCATGCGTGTTGTAAAAGTCAACTAAAATGCCGGGAACAATGGGCTAGTAACCCCTTTTCCTGTAAAGATTACTAAAAAGAATAAGAAGAAGAAAATTGTCAAAGTGGGAAGTCTGAATGTGCGTGGATGTTGTGCAAATGATAAGAAAGAGATGATTGTGGATGTTATGAATGAGAAGAAACTGGATGTCCTGGCTTTAAGTGAAACAAAGCTGAAGGGGGTGGGAGAGTTTCAATGGAGAGGAATAAATGGGATTAGGTCAGGGGTTTCAAATAGAGTTAGAGCTAAAGAAGGAGTAGCAATAATGTTGAAGGATAAGCTATGGCAGGAAAAGAGGGACTACAAATGTATAAATTCAAGGATTATGTGGAGTAAAATAAAGATTGGATGTGAAAAGTGGGTTATAGTAAGCGTGTATGCACCTGGAGAAGAGAGAAGTGTAGAGGAGAGAGAGAGAGAGATTCTGGGAAATGTTCAGTGAATGCGTGGAGAGTTTTGAATCAAGTGTGAGAGTAATGGTGGTTGGGGATTTCAATGCTAAAGTGGGTAAAAATGTTATAGAGGGAGTAGTAGGTAAATTTGGGATGCCAGGGGTAAATGTAAATGGGGAGCCTTTAATTGCGCTATGTGTAGAAAGAAATTTGGTAATAATACATATTTTATGAAAAAGAAGATAAATAAATATACAAGGTATGATGTAGCACGTAATGAAAGTAGTTTGTTAGATTATGTATTGGTGGATAAAAGGTTGATGGGTAGGCTCCAGGATGTACATGTTTATAGAGGGGCAACTGATATATCGGATCATTATTTAGTTGTAGCTACAGTTAGAGTAAGAGGTAGATGGGAAAAGAGGAAGGTGGCAACAAGTAAGAGGGAGGTGAAAGTGTATAAACTAAGGGAGGAGGAAGTTCGGGCGAGATATAAGCGACTATTGGCAGAAAGGTGGGCTAGTGCAAAGATGAGTAGTGGGGGGGTTGAAGAGGGTTGGAATACTTTTAAAAATGCAGTATTAGAATGTGGGGCAGAAGTTTGTGGTTATAGGAGGGTGGGGGCAGGAGGAAAGAGGAGTGATTGGTGGAATGATGAAGTAAAGGGTGTGATAAAAGAGAAAAAGGTAGCTTACGAAAGGTTTTTACAAAGCAGAAGTGTTATAAGAAGAGCAGAGTACAGTGGACCCCTGCATAACGATCACCTCCGAATGCGACCAATTATGTAAGTGTATTTATGTAAGTGCGTTTGTACGTGTATGTTTGGGGGTCTGAAATGGACTAATCTACTTCACAATATTCCTTATGGGAACAAATTCGGTCAGTACTGGCACCTGAACATACTTCTGGAGTGAAAAAATATTGTTAACCTGGGGTCCACTGTATATGGAGAGTAAAAGAAAGGTGAAGAGAGTGGTGAGAGAGTGCAAAAGGAGAGCAGATGAAAGAGTGGGAGAGGCACTGTCAAGAAATTTTAATGAAAATAAGAAAAAATTTTGGAGTTAAACAAGTTAAGAAAGCCTAGGGAAAGTATGGATTTGTCAGTTAAAAACAGAGTAGGGGAGTTAGTAGATGGGGAGAGGGAGGTATTAGGTAGATGGCGAGAATATTTTGAGGAACTTTTAAATGTTGAGGAAGAAAGGGAGGCGGTAATTTCATGCACTGGCCAGGGAGGTATACCATCTTTTAGGAGTGAAGAAGAGCAGAATGTAAGTGTGGTGGAGGTACGTGAGGCATTACGTAGAATGAAAGGGGGTAAAGCAGCTGGAACTGATGGGATCATGACAGAAATGTTAAAAGCAGGGGGGGATATAGTGTTGGAGTGGTTGGTACTTTTGTTTAATAAATGTATGAAAGAGGGAAAGGTACCTAGGGATTGGTGGAGAGCATGTATAGTCCCTTTATATAAAGGGAAAGGGGACAAAAGAGATTGTAAAAATTATAGAGGAATAAGTTTACTGAGTATACCAGGAAAAGTATACGGTAGGGTTATAATTGAAAGAATTAGAGGTAAGACAGAATGTAGGATTGCGGATGAGCAGGGAGGCTTCAGAGTGGGTAGGGGATGTGTAGATCAAGTGTTTACATTGAAGCATATATGTAAACAGTATTTAGATAAAGGTAGGGAAGTTTTTATTGCATTTATGGATTTAGAAAAGGCATATGATAGAGTGGATAGAGGAGCAATGTGGCAGATGTTGCAAGTATATGGAATAGGTGGTAAGTTACTAAATGCTGTAAAGAGTTTTTATGAGGATAGTGAGGCTCAGGTTAGGGTGTGTAGAAGAGAGGGAGAATACTTCCCGGTAAAAGTAGGTCTCAGACAGGGATGTGTAATGTCACCATGGTTGTTTAATATATTTATAGATGGGGTTGTAAAAGAAGTAAATGCTAGGGTGTTCGGGAGAGGGGTGGGATTAAATTATGGGGAATCAAATTCAAAATGGGAATTGACACAGTTACTTTTTGCTGATGATACTGTGCTTATGGGAGATTCTAAAGAAAAATTGCAAAGGTTAGTGGATGAGTTTGAGAATGTGTGTAAAGGTAGAAAGTTGAAAGTGAACATAGAAAAGAGTAAGGTGATGAGGGTATCAAATGATTTAGATAAAGAAAAATTGGATATCAAATTGGGGAGGAGGAGTATGGAAGAAGTGAATGTTTTCAGATACAGTGGACCCCCGCATAGCGAACGCCTTGCATAGCGAACATTCCGCATAGCGAACGCTTTGATCGCTAAAATTTTGCCCCGCATAGTAGACAAAAACCCGCTCAGCGAACTTCGTCCGAGACGCGTCCAATGTGCGGCCTCAGCCAGCCTCACATGTGCCGCCTGTCCCATTGTTTACCAGCTAGCCTCCGCGGTAACATTCAAGCATACACTCGGAATATTTCGTATTATTACAGTGTTTTCGGTTCTGTTTGTTGAAAATAAGTGACCATGGGCCCCAAGAAAGCTTCTAGTGCCAACCCTGTGGTAAAAAGGGTGAGAATTAGTATGGAAATTAAGAAAGATTTTGAAGGGTTTGGGGCTAACCCTGAGAAGCCTATGCCAGTTGTGGAATCCATTGTGCCTACTTCAAAAATTAAGGAAATGTGTGCACAGTGGGTTGAACTGCAAACCTTTATGGATGAAAATCACCCTGACACAGCTGTTGCAAGGCGTGCTGGTGACTATTTCAATGACAATGTTATGGCCCATTTTAGACAAATCGTAAAGGAACGGGAGGTACAGAGCTCTATGGACAGAAAGAAGTCCAGTGACTCTGAAGCTGGTCCTAGTGGCATTAAAAGAAGAAGGGAAGTAACCCCGGAAAAGGACTTGCCTCCTCAAGTGTTAATGGAAGGGGATTCCCCTTCTAAACACTAACACTCTCTCTCCCCTCCTCCCATCCCATCAATCATCACCAGATCTTCAATAAAAGTAAGTGTCATGTAATTGTGCATGCCTTTTTCAGTTTGTGTGTACTAAAATTAACATTTTTTTGTGGTAAAAAAATTTTTTTTTCATACTTTTGGGTGTCTTGCACGGATTAATTTTATTTCCATTATTTCTTATGGGGAAAATTAATTCGCATAGCGAACATTTCGCATAACGACCAGCCCTCTTGCACGGATTAAGTTCGCTATGCGGGGGTCCACTGTACTTGGGAGTTGACGTGTCGTCGGATGGATTTATGAAGGATGAGGTTAATCATAGAATTGATGAGGGAAAAAAGGTGAGTGGTGCATTGAGGTATATGTGGAGTCAAAAAACGTTATCTATGGAGGCAAAGATGGGAATGTATGAAAGTATAGTAGTACCAACACTCTTATATGGATGTGAAGCTTGGGTGGTAAATGCAGCAGCGAGGAGACGGTTGGAGGCAGTGGAGATGTCCTGTCTAAGGGCAATGTGTGGTGTAAATATTATGCAAAAAATTCGGAGTGTGGAAATTAGGAGAAGGTGTGGCGTTAATAAAAGCATTAGTCAGAGGGCAGAAGAGGGGTTGTTGAGGTGGTTTGGTTATTTAGAGAGAATGGATCAAAGTAGAATGACATGGAAAGCATATAAATCTATAGGGGAAGGAAGGAGGGGTAGGGGTCGTCCTCAAAAGGGTTGGAAAGAGGGGGTAAAGGAGGTTTTGTGGGCTAGGGGCTTGGATTTCCAGCAATCGTGCATGAGAGTGTTAGATAGGAGTGAATGGAGGCGAATGATACTTGGGACCTGACGATCTGTTGGAGTGTGAGCAGGGTAATATTTAGTGAAGGGATTCAGGGAAACTGGTTATGTTCATATAGTCGGACTTGAGTCCTGGAAATGGGAAGTACAATGCCTGCACTTTAAAGGAGGGGTTTGGGATATTGGCGGTTTGGAGGGATATGTTGTGTATCTTTATACGTATATGCTTCTAAGCTGTTGTATTCTGAGCACCTCTGCAAAAGCAGTGATAATGTGTGAGTGTGGTGAAAGTGTTGAATGATGATGAAAGTATTTTCTTTTTGGGGATTTTCTTTCTTTTTTGGGTCACCCTGCCTCGGTGGGAGACGGTCGACTTGTTGAAAAAAAAAAAAAAAAAATATTCTTGAAGGTTGAATATAACAAGAGGATAGCATTTTTTTTTTTCCCAAGTCGGCTGTCTCCCACCGAAGCAGGGTGACCTAAAAATAAAGAAAATCCCCCCAAAAAAAGAAAATACTTTCATCATTATTCAACACTTTCACCACAGTCACACATAATCGCAGAATACAACAGTATTCTATGTTTATAGAGGGGCCACAGATATATCAGATCACTTTCTAGTTGTAGCTACACTGAGAGTAAAAGGTAGATGGGATACAAGGAGAATAGAAGTATCAGGGAAGAGAGAGGTGAAGGTTTATAAACTAAAAGAGGAGGCAGTTAGGGTAAGATATAAACAGCTATTGGAGGATAGATGGGCTAATGAGAGCATAGGCAATGGGGTCGAAGAGGTATGGGGTAGGTTTAAAAATGTAGTGTTAGAGTGTTCAGCAGAAGTTTGTGGTTACAGGAAAGTGGGTGCGGGAGGGAAGAGGAGCGATTGGTGGAATGATGATGTAAAGAGAGTAGTAAGGGAGAAAAAGTTAGCATATGAGAAGTTTTTACAAAGTAGAAGTGATGCAAGGAGGGAAGAGTATATGGAGAAAAAGAGAGAGGTTAAGAGAGTGGTGAAGCAATGTAAAAAGAGAGCAAATGAGAGAGTGGGTGAGATGTTATCAACAAATTTTGTTGAAAATAAGAAAAAGTTTTGGAGTGAGATTAACAAGTTAAGAAAGCCTAGAGAACAAATGGATTTGTCAGTTAAAAGTAGGAGAGGAGAGTTATTAAATGGAGAGTTAGAGGTATTGGGAAGATGGAGGGAATATTTTGAGGAATTGTTAAATGTTGATGAAGATAGGGAAGCTGTGATTTCGTGTATAGGACAAGGAGGAATAACATCTTGTAGGAGTGAGGAAGAGCCAGTTGTGAGTGTGGGGGAAGTTCGTGAGGCAGTAGGTAAAATGAAAGGGGGTAAGGCAGCCGGGATTGATGGGATAAAGATAGAAATGTTAAAAGCAGGTGGGGATATAGTTTTGGAGTGGTTGGTGCAATTATTTAATAAATGTATGGAAGAGGGTAAGGTACCTAGGGATTGGCAGAGAGCATGCATAGTTCCTTTGTATAAAGGCAAAGGGGATAAAAGAGAGTGCAAAAATTATAGGGGGATAAGTCTGCTGAGTATACCTGGTAAAGTGTATGGTAGAGTTATTATTGAAAGAATTAAAAGTAAGACGGAGAATAGGATAGCAGATGAACAAGGAGGCTTTAGGAAAGGTAGGGGGTGTGTGGACCAGGTGTTTACAGTGAAACATATAAGTGAACAGTATTTAGATAAGGCTAAAGAGGTCTTTGTGGCATTTATGGATTTGGAAAAGGCGTATGACAGGGTGGATAGGGGGGGAATGTGGCAGATGTTGCAAGTGTATGGTGTAGGAGGTAGGTTACTGAAAGCAGTGAAGAGCTTTTACAAGGATAGTGAGGCTCAAGTTAGAGTATGTAGGAAAGAGGGAATTTTTTTCCCAGTAAAAGTAGGCCTTAGACAAGGATGTGTGATGTCACCATGGTTGTTTAATATATTTATAGATGGGGTTGTAAGAGAAGTAAATGCGAGGGTCTTGGCAAGAGGCGTGGAGTTAAAAGATAAAGAATCACACATAAAGTGGGAGTTGTCACAGCTGCTCTTTGCTGATGACACTGTGCTCTTGGGAGATTCTGAAGAGAAGTTGCAGAGATTGGTGGATGAATTTGGTAGAGTGTGCAAAAGAAGAAAATTAAAGGTGAATACAGGAAAGAGTAAGGTTATGAGGATAACAAAAAGATTAGGTGATGAAAGATTGAATATCAGATTGGAGGGAGAGAGTATGGAGGAGGTGAATGTATTCAGATATTTGGGAGTGGACGTGTCAGCGGATGGGTCTATGAAAGATGAGGTGAATCATAGAATTGATGAGGGGAAAAGAGTGAGTGGTGCACTTAGGAGTCTGTGGAGACAAAGAACTTTGTCCTTGGAGGCAAAGAGGGGAATGTATGAGAGTATAGTTTTACCAACGCTCTTATATGGGTGTGAAGCATGGGTGATGAATGTTGCAGCGAGGAGAAGGCTGGAGGCAGTGGAGATGTCATGTCTGAGGGCAATGTGTGGTGTGAATATAATGCAGAGAATTCGTAGTCTGGAAGTTAGGAGGAGGTGCGGGATTACCAAAACTGTTGTCCAGAGGGCTGAGGAAGGGTTGTTGAAGTGGTTCAGACATGTAGAGAGAATGGAGCGAAACAGAATGACTTCAAGAGTGTATCAGTCTGTAGTGGAAGGAAGGCGGGGTAAGGGTCGGCCTAGGAAAGGTTGGAGAGATGGGGTAAAGGAGGTTTTGTGTGCGAGGGGCTTGGACTTCCAGCAGGCATGCGTGAGCGTGTTTGATAGGAGTGAATGGAGACAAATGGTTTTTAATACTTGACGTGCTGTTGGAGTGTGAGCAAAGTAACATTTATGAAGGGGTTCAGGGAAACCGGCAGGCCGGACTTGAGTCCTGGAGATGGGAAGTACAGTGCCTGCACTCTGAAGGAGGGTGTTAATGTTGCAGTTTAAAAACTGTATTGTAAAGCACCCTTCTGGCAAGACAGTGATGGAGTGAATGATGGTGAAAGTTTTTCTTTTTCGGGCCACCCTGCCTTACACCCTGCCTTGGTGGGAATCGGCCAGTGTGATAATAAAAAAAAAATAATAAAAATAATAATAGAAGAATATACGTATAAAGATACACAGCAACCTATGAAGATACACAGCAACCACCCAGGGAGGTACTACCGTCCTGCCAAGTGAGTGTAAAATAAAAGCCTGTAATTGTTTCACATGATGGTAGGATTGCCGGTGTCATTTGTCTCTCATAAATATGCACGATTACAGGTACATCTTGCTACTTCTACTTACACTTATGTCACACTACACACATGTACACGTTTATTTATACACACTTATCTGAGTTTTCTTTGATTTTATCTTAATAGTTCTTGTTTCTTATTACTTTTCCTTTTATATCCATGGGGAAGTGGAATAAGAATCTTTCCTCTGTAAGCTATGTGTGTTGTAAAAGTCAACTAAAATGCCAGGAACAATGGGCTAGTAACCCCTTTTCTTGTAATGATCACTAAAAAGAATAATAAGAAATATTTTGAGGATAGCATATCCTAGAAAAATTGCTTAGGCATTTGAGGTTAGTGTATGAAATATGACGGTAACCAAATAGCTATGTTTAGTCAACACGTACCCTGAGAGCTAACCAATTTTTTTTCCATCAGTCTGAGCCCCTGGATTTGTACCATGTGGAAAATGAGGCCCTGTGGGAAGATGATGACTACCTCCATGTCTGAGCCTCCAGACCAATACCAGATGGAAAACGAGGCCCTGTGGGAGGATGACAACTGCCTCTATCTCTGAGCCTCTGGACCTATACCACACGGAGAACAAGAACCTGTGGGGAAAACAACGACTATCTCCATGTCTAAGCTCCTGAATTTGTACCACACGGAGAATGAAGACCTGTGGGAAGATGACTACTTCCACATTTCAGCTCCTGGATGTATCATTTGGAGAGAGGATCTGTGGAAAGATAACTCCACATCTAATGCCTCACCCCACACTCCATGTCAAGCTCACAACCACTACAACAATCATAAAAGGAAGTAGCCGTAACATCCTTTACAAAACAATGGTGGTTTTGTAATTTAATACTAGCATGATGTCTGAACAAAAAAAAAAATGATCTTGTGGAGAAAAACATTCAGTGAGTCTTGAACAAAGACTGAGCATGGAGTTTAATAATAATACTGTAATAATTTTTAACACCTTGCCCATCTCCCACCGAGAGAGGGTGACCCAAAAAAGAAACACTTTCACCATAATTCACACATAATCAGCCTTTGCAGAGGTGCCCAGATATGACAGTTTAGGTGTCACTCCAAACAGCCAGTATCCCAAACCTCTCCTTTGAAGTGCAGGCATTGTACTTCCCACCTCCAGGACTCAAGCCCAGCTAACCGGTTTCCCTGAATCCCTTCACAAAATATTACCCTGCTCACACTCCAACAGCTCACCAGGTTCCAAAAACCATTCATCCTATTCACTCCTATCTAACACGCTTCAACATGCCTGCTGCATGTCCAGGCCCCTTGCACATAAAACCTCTTTAACACCCTCCCTCCATTCTTTTCTAGGTTGACCCCTACTCCTCCCCTCCACTACAGATTTATACATCTTCCAAGTCATTCTATTTTGCTCCATCCTCTCTAAATGACCAAACCATCACCAATAATAATAATAATAATGACATGGGTTTAAACTGACAAAGGTCACATTGGACTTAACCAATAAATTTATTTCAGCTTAGAGCAGCATAAAAGAGCACTCTAAAGATCTAAATGAATGTTCTTGAGTATTACTTTGAGCACTGTATGAAAGCCATGAACATCATATACACACACTGTGGCTACATATGCAACATTTTTCAACCTACATCCTGATTTCAAACATTCATATACCCAGGGGAAGATCTACTATGAAACTAATAAAGCCTAAGCTTCAAGGGCCCCTAATCTCAGAGAGCTGCTAAAAGCGACTTTGGTCCACATTGCTTAAAAATTTTTGGTTTTCTGCATGAGAAGGGGTTTTCAGAAAATAATAATAATAGTGTAGCTATGCATGTTGTAAGAGGCTACTAAAATGCCAGGAGCAAGGGGCTAGTAACCCCTTGTATATAAATTACTAAATTTAAAAAGAGAAACTTTCGTTTTTCTTTTTGGGCCACCCTGCCTTGGTGGGATACGGCTGGTTTGTTGAAAAAAAAAATGGTGTAATAACAGTTAAAAATAAAAATTAAAAGGGTATCAAATTATCATGTAGGCTAGCCATTGTTGGTTGCAAAAGTTTTCCCACAACAGTTCAGGCTTCAGGGTCCCAAAAATGTAGGTCCACCATTGCATGTATGTACAGTAATTCACGAGTGATCAAACGAATGGACATTGCAGTAGATGTATTCATTATTATTGTAACATTAATTGACCAGGATTATTAAGTGCTCTGGAATGTACGTACTTTGATCAGGAATTACCATTATTGGTTTGAAGTGTATAGTACTTATTAGCTCAGTCTTTATTGATGTGGATAATTTTTTAATTAATGTTGCAGCATAAGTTAATCTGAGGCAGGCATTAAATAAAGTAGGTATGGAAAGGGGCTGAGGTGCTAAACCTGTTAGGGTCATATAGTGCCCAGGAAAATGGGAGGAAATAGGTTTGATCCAAAGAAGGGTATGTCCGATACTTTAGATCAAGTGTCCCTTATTATATTTAAATCATTCATATATGTTGCAAAACTATAAATATACTCCTCTTGAAGGGGGGCTCCTTGGCGTGGTGAAGAGGCTCTTGGTCTGAGGAATTAGACCTGTTGGTCTCCTTCCTCAGACCGAACCTAATTACCCCCCAATCCCCCTTTCCCTATCCCATCCTCCCCTTTTCCCTTTCCTCCTCCCCCTCCCTTTTGCCCTTCCTCTTTTTGGCCTTTGGGATTTTTCCCACAGGCGCGCTAGTTCCTAGGTAGGGGAAAGGGTACCGGGGTCCATCCCATTCCGTTGAGGTTCTTGGCAGTGGCGTAGTTTGCCGTGGAATCTGGATCGCCTGGGGATGTCCCGATCCCTCTCCGGAATCCCGTAGAGTGGCTTTGGGTGTCTTTCAGGCGACGGGTGTATCTCTGGAAGCCACCTTTTGGATTCCAGGGGTGGTGGCCGAAGGAGGTATGCTTTGTGGCAGATATCCGGCCACCCTCTCTTTTGTCCACCGAGGTAGCTCGGCAGATGTGAGGTTGCTATCCAGGATTGCTGGTTTACTGGCATGAAGGGTAGGGTATGGCACGGGTTCCATGCTGCATCTACGCTACTTGCAGTGCTAAGGTCCTCTTGGGCGCGGAGGGAGATTTCTGGCCCTTTCATTCCTCCTAGGAACTATCCCTCCCTGGTCCCCCCCTTTTTTTTTTTTATTCTTTTTTTTATTTTTATTTTCTTTTTCTTTTTTTTTTCTTAAAAACAAAAAGAAAGAAAAGTAACCTAACCATGGAGAACCCAATCCATGACCCTGCTACCCCCAGGCCCCTTCTTGATACCACACCCCGTTCTGACCCCGCCTCGTCTTTGGACCACTCTTCGGACACTCCTCATGCCTCTGTACCTCTTGCCGGTGCTGTTTCCTCACCCGCTTCAGGTACTGAGGTCTCGACTGACTCCTTTGATTTATCTGACCTCCGCTCTCCTTTGACTATGCTTCCGGCCTCTCCCTCTACGGTGCAGCAATTTTCGAATCGCCGGCCCATTCCACGTCGGACCAACTCTGGTCCCACGCCTAAACGCCAACGACAATTACCTGCTGATGATACTTCTCCACCTTCTCGTTCTTCTCAGAAAAGATCGACATGTCCTGCACTCCCTTTCCACGCTCAGTTTCAGACTGCACAATAGACTAAATTCTTCACTTTACGACCGACTTCCTCTACCGCCTATCTTTCTGACCACAGTATTGGCAAGGCACTCCTACGCCATGTTGGTGAAGATATTTCTTTTCATGCTCTTAAGAGCGGTACGTGCATCATCACGGTACAGAATGCTACCCAAGCTCATGATCTTTCTCTTCTTTCCCATATAGATACTGTTCCTGTCACTATTGAAAAACATCATTCCCTCAATTCTTGTAGTGGTACCGTCATTCTGCCCCATACCATAGTTCAACAAAATTTCCAGACATGTGGCAATGACATTCTTGAACATCTGGAACTCCAAGATCTCCCAATCCTCAACGTAGACACTTATGTTCTTCCTGCCCGCGGGCGGAGACGATACCCTAGTAATGTGGCTCATTTAACTTTTGACAGCCGTGAACTCCCATCCTCAGTTTATATAGCAGGACATCGGTTACAAGTTCGAAAGGTGATCCCTACACCGCAACAGTGTAGAAATTGCTGGCGATTTGGCCATCCAGCGAAATATTGCAGATCCATAGCCGAATGCCCAGTCTGTGGTGCCGATGACCATTCTAATACGTCTTGCAATCGACCTCCCTCTTGCCTTAATTGTCATGAGGCTCACCCTTCGTACTCTCGCCGTTGCCAAGTCTACTTAAATGAGCGGGAAATCCGTTACCTCAGAAGCAGAAGGTCTCCCTTATGCCATGGCAGTTTCTCATCTCCGCCTCCAAGGGAGACTACCTCGTGTTTCTTATTCCCGTGTTTCAAAACGTCCCCCCACTTCTGGGGTCCCATCTTCTGCAACCTCCTCTGTGGTTACCTCTCCCATAGTCACTCATGTATCTAATTCTTTTGCTGTCCTAGGCTCAGACGTCCCTACTTCAACGCCTCAGTCTGTTCCCGCTTCTTCGTGTTCTCCCTCACAAGCCTCAATATCGATGAGACCTCGTACGACACCTCCTCCCAATCGTCCCTCTACTTCTCAGAAGTCAAAAAAAGGTCCTTTAACCCCTCCTTCCCTTCTTCCACCTCCTCATTTTACCTTCCCTGTCTCTGTACTGGTTTCTTCCCCTCTCAATGGCTCTGTTACAAGTGTAGAGGTTCATCCTCCTCCTCGTACTATACCTACCTCCCCTATTCCCTCCCAAGTTTCTTCCTCTTCTGCCACCTCCCAGGTTTCTGCCTCTTCTGTCCCCTTCCACGCTTCTTCTCCAGTTCCCTCCACCCTTTGGCCCCCCCCCTACCTTGGTACAGTCCATTACAGTTCTTTACTCATCCTCCCCCTACCATCTCCAGTATTGTCTCCCATACGACGTCTCTGAATTCCAAAACACTTGAAGCAATCTCTGAATATATTGCAGAGACCAAACCATCAATGGACACTGATCCACCCTCTGTTCCTTCTCTCTCCTCTCCTCCATCTACACAACTCCTTTCTTCACAGTGCACCGTTCCTTCGCTGCTTGAACGTTTTCCGCTGCCTCCGCATGTGGACTTTTCTAACCCCTCTAGTCCGTAGGAATCCTTACCTGCGGATTTCAAGTATCTTTATCATTGCCAATCATGGCCTATTTACAGTAGAATATACGCGGCCTCAGGGGTAATTGGGGTGAGCTTCAGATGTTACTCTCCCAGTTTTCCCCTGTTGGTGTTTGCTTACAGGAACCAAAATTACACTCTGCTGTTATCTCTCCCATCTCAGGCTATAATTTATTGTATTCTTCAGATCCTTTTCCTGATGGGACCTTTAATGAAAGTGCCCTTCTTCTACGCACTGATATTCCGTACCATCATCTATTTGTTCGTACTTCGCTGCATTACACAGCAGCCCGTATCCACTTGCTCCGCTGCTCTCTCTTTACCTTCCCTTCTCGCTGATGGACCCACCTTTCATCCGGACACTCTCATTGACTTTTTGACAACAACTGACTTGCTTCACAAATTTTGATACCTTCAGCCCTTTCTACCTCAATCTCTTGCTGCCCTCTACCCCCGTACTATCCCCTGCCCCGCTGTTTTCTGTTTCCTACTGATTGTCCCTCCTCCCTTCTGCCGCCCAATACCCTCGCTTCCTTCCCTACCCTGCAGCGCTGTATAGCCCTTGTAGCTTAGCGCTTCTTTTTTATTATAATAATAATATAAATATACTGCCAATGGAAGGCAATCAGGCTTGATCCAAGGAGGGAACAAGTCCAGTTCCTTGAATCAAGGGCCTCTCACTAGCATCAAGGCACCTCCATATAACAACTTGTACACACAACCCATTACCAGTGCATAAACATCAAAATGAAAATGGTCCAGTGAACTGAAACACCTTCACCCATCCTTCAGAGCACAGTCACTGTATGTCTCACCTTCACCCATCCTTCAGAGCAATCACTGTACTTCTCACCTTCACCCATCCTTCAGAGCAGTCACTATGTCTCACCTTCACCCATCCTTCAGAACACACTCACTATTCTTCTCACCTTCACCCATTCTTCAGAGCATAGTCACTGTACGTCTTGCCTTCACCCATTTTTCAGAGCACAGTCAATGTACTTCTCACCTTCACGCATCCTTCAGAGCACAGTCAATGTACTTCTCGCCTCCATAACTCAACTCGGGCAAAACAGTTTCTGCGAATCTCTTCAAAAATGCTACGTTGCTCACACTCTGTTGGCACATCAAATTCCCATGTCATAAAGTGCTGTAAGAACTGACAAGCATGGCAAAATATACTTCACACCTTCAAAGGCACATACAATCAAGCTAAAAAAAAAAAAAAAAAAAAAAAAAAAAAAAAAAAAAAAAAATTCATAGAGCATACAATTTATTTGTCAGGTATAAAACATTTTGAGAATCACAGTAAATAATATATTTCAGAGGTTCCATTCTCCTGTTATCTCAGTGATTTCATTTCTCCAAGTCTTGCTGTGGATGGGCTTCTTGATATCTTTTTACTTCATCCTGAAAAAAAAATTCTATTATAGTAAACCCTCAATTTAATGCACCTTGGAAATATGAGAGAAAATCTGGGTTAATTCTGAAACCACAAACAAAATCCAACAAAACATCATCTCTATCCACCACAACTGCCATCAATGTCTTTCACTGTGACTCAATCATCTTCTATTAAGGGTTTCAAAACTTTTTAAGAGAAAATAATACAGTGGAACCTTGGTTTTCGTGTGCCCTAGGTTGTATGTAAAACTATAGTTATTCTCTAGAAAATGTAGTTTTTGTTAATATTTTTGGGTGTCTGGAATGGAGTAATTGGATTTACATAATTTCTTATAGGAAATATTAACAAAAAATACATTTTATAGAGAATAATTATAGTTTTACATACAACCTAGGGCATATGAAAACCAAGGTTCCACTATACATAATAATGTGTGCTATTTAGTTCTTACATAATTTCTTACCTTACCATACACTCCTGTATATATTATCCATTAGTCATATTAGAGTATGCATATGCCAATGGTATTGTACATACTATTAAAAACTTGTGTTTCCTTGCTTGCAAATAGTTAATGGGTACACTTTATTATAATAATAATAACAGCTATTGGAGGATAGATGGGCTAATGAGAGCATAGGCAATGGGGTCGAAGAGGTATGGGGTAGGTTTAAAAATGTAGTGTTAGAGTGTTCAGCAGAAGTTTGTGGTTACAGGAAAGTGGGTGCGGGAGGGAAGAGGAGCGATTGGTGGAATGATGTAAAGAGAGTAGTAAGGGAGAAAAAGTTAGCATATGAGAAGTTTTTACAAAGTAGAAGTGATGCAAGGAGGGAAGAGTATATGGAGAAAAAGAGAGAGGTTAAGAGAGTGGTGAAGCAATGTAAAAAGAGAGCAAATAAGAGAGTGGGTGAGATGTTATCAACAAATTTTGTTGAAAATAAGAAAAAGTTTTGGAGTGAGATTAACAAGTTAAGAAAGCCTAGAGAACAAATGGATCTGTCAGTTAAAAATAGGAGAGGAGAGTTATTAAATGGAGAGTTAGAGGTATTGGGAAGATGGAGGGAATATTTTGAGGAATTGTTAAATGTTGATGAAGATAGGGAAGCTGTGATTTTGTGTATAGGGCAAGGAGGAATAACATCTTGTAGGAGTGAGGAAGAGCCAGTTGTGAGTGTGGGGGGAAGTTCGTGAGGCAGTAGGTAAAATGAAAGGGGGTAAGGCAGCCGGGATTGATGGGATAAAGATAGAAATGTTAAAAGCAGGTGGGGATATAGTTTTGGAGTGGTTGGTGCAATTATTTAATAAATGTATGGAAGAGGGTAAGGTACCTAGGGATTGGCAGAGAGCATGCATAGTTCCTTTGTATAAAGGCAAAGGGGATAAAAGAGAGTGCAAAAATTATAGGGGGATAAGTCTGTTGAGTATACCTGGTAAAGTGTATGGTAGAGTTATTATTGAAAGAATTAAGAGTAAGACGGAGAATAGGATAGCAGATGAACAAGGAGGCTTTAGGAAAGGTAGGGGGTGTGTGGACCAGGTGTTTACAGTGAAACATATAAGTGAACAGTATTTAGATAAGGCTAAAGAGGTCTTTGTGGCATTTATGGATTTGGAAATGGCGTATGACAGGGTGGATAGGGGGCAATGTGGCAGATGTTGCAGGTGTATGGTGTAGGAGGTAGGTTACTGAAAGCAGTGAAGAGTTTTTACGAGGATAGTGAGGCTCAAGTTAGAGTATGTAGGAAAGAGGGAAATTATTTCCCAGTAAAAGTAGGCCTTAGACAAGGATGTGTGATGTCACTGTGGTTGTTTAATATATTTATAGATGGGGTCGTAAGAGAAGTAAATGCGAGGGTCTTGGCAAGAGGCGTGGAGTTAAAAGATAAAGAATCACACACAAAGTGGGAGTTGTCACAGTTGCTCTTTGCTGATGACACTGCTCTTGGGATATTCTGAAGAGAAGTTGCAGAGATTGGTAGATGAATTTGGTAGGGTGTGCAAAAGAAGAAAATTGGAAGTGAATACAGGAAAGAGTAAGGTTATGAGGATAACAAAAAGATTAGGTGATGAAAGATTGGATATCAGATTGGAGGGAGAGAGTATGGAGGAGGTGAATGTATTCAGATATTTGGGAGTGGACGTGTCAGTGGATGGGTCTATGAAAGATGAGGTGAATCATAGAATTGATGAGGGGAAAAGGGTGAGTGGTGCACTTAGGAGTCTGTGGAGACAAAGAACTTTGTCCTTGGAGGGAAGAGGGGAATGTATGAGAGTATAGTTTTACCAACGCTCTTATATGGGTGTGAAGCATGGGTGATGAATGTTGCAGCGAGGAGAAGGCTGGAGGCAGTGGAGATGTCATGTCTGAGGGCAATGTGTGGTGTGAATATAATGCAGAGAATTCGTAGTTTGGAAGTTAGGAGGAGGTGCGGGATTACCAAAACTGTTGTCCAGAGGGCTGAGGAAGGGTTGTTGAGGTGGTTCGGACATGTAGAGAGAATGGAGTGAAACAGAATGACTTCAAGAGTGTATCAGTCTGTAGTGGAAGGAAGGTGGGGTAGGGGTTGGCCTAGGAAAGGTTGGAGGGAGGGGGTAAAGGAGGCTTTGTGTGCGAGGGGCTTGGACCTCCAGCAGGCATGCGTGAGCATGTTTGATAGGAGTGAATGGAGACAAATGGTTTTTAATACTTGACATGCTGTTGGAGTGTGAGCAAAGTAACATTTATGAAGGGGTTCAGGGAAACCGGCAGGCCGGACTTGAGTCCTGGATATGGGAAGTACAGTGCCTGCACTCTGAAGGAGGGGTGTTAATGTTGCAGTTTAAAAACTGTAGTGTAAAGCACCCTTCTGGCAATACAGTGATGGAGTGAATGATGGTGAAAGTTTTCCTTTTTTGGGCCACCCTGCCTTGGTGGGAATCGGCCAGTGTGATAATAAAAAAAAAATAATCTTTATTTACTACAAGGTATATAGGCCTAGCTGACATCAATGACATACTACTATATAAAAAGCCCCTTGTTATGCAGAGCACTTCAGGCAAATTAGGTCAGTTTTGTCCCAGGATGCAACCCACACCAGTCAACTAACTCCCAGGTACCCTTTTACTGATGGGTGACCATAGACAACCAGTGTAAAGAAACATGCCCAATGTTTCTACCCTCGCCGGGAATTGAACCCAGATCCTCACTATGTGAAGTGAGAGCTTTAGCCACCAGCCCACGGGGCACTGTTATTGGTATGTCATGATCACTGACCAAGCCCATGTCATGGTTTAAATGTACAGGCTATGTAAAAAGTACTGTGTAGTGTGTGAATGTTTTGGAACAAGCATTTTTTGCTATTATACGTGTATTGTTATTTAGAGATTGTGACTGTGTAGGGCCAATATAAGGTACATTATACTAAAGAACTACTGCATAAAATTCTATCAAACAGTGCAAGTCACACTGCATTAGAGAACTACTGCATAAAATCCTATAAAATTCTATACATGTGCCTCTTTACTGGACAATATTTGGGGTCAAGGCTGATGTCAAATTATACATTTAAAATGGGTATCTGCATGCTACAGAAACATTTCTAGTTGAATATACCATTGATTTACCACTATTTTTTTCAAGTTCACATTATATTTTATATAATTATACATTGATATGACAAAAGATGCTATAAAAACTGAGAAACAGTGTTTCAGTATTTTCTCTCACACAAGTTGTCAGGAATGTTACAATGTAACCAAAGAATGGGCGGGGACTGAATCCATGGTTACTGTGGTCACAGTGGAACCACATTTGTTGTCAGTGCAACCCATGCTAGCTTCCCTATGGTGTATAGTTGATGAATCTTATTGTAGCCAGCTGGCCCAGTGGCTTAAACACTGGCCTGGAGTTTTATGACTCGTTCACCATGGGTTTAATCCCCACTCGTTCTATGGTTTGTTTGTAATCACTTATTACAATTTTACGAGTCATATTGATACAATATACGAGGTTATCAAATGTTTGTAAGTACATATATAGTACCTGGATCAGTTTTTTGACAGCTTCATTCTGCTTCTTGAGGTCCTTTAATGCTTGATGTAGAACTTCTACAGCTGGAGTATCCCATGTTTGTATGCGTATGTGTATTTTGCGTTCCATTGGATGTGGAACTGTGTAGCCACAAAATTCAACAGCAGGGCTGCAATAATGAGAACAAATAATGAGCTAATAAATAAAAACTTGATAAATAGGTTTAAGACCCTTGTGTATCCTTATAATGTCAGTTACCAGACAGTTCATGAAAATCAGCTTTAGACACAAATGCAAACCAACAACTCTGCAAACAGTCTTACAGGTGCTGAGTTATGGCAATACCACACTAGAAAATAATCAGAAAATGGTAACCACCTGTGAGATATTTAAAGGCAACACTGGTATGGTGATACCAACAAGTTGCAGGTAAAAAGACACCTGTGCTAATGTATCAGTGCATTCATCTTCTACCTACAGATTAAAAGGTTCTTAACCAATGAATGTGCAAAATCTCACTATGGTCAGAGATTTGAACTTCAACACAGCCAGGGGCCCAGCACAAGACAACTTTCCTGTGTCTCTTGGGGATACAACAAAACTAGCATTTAATATGATAGATAAATACGTACAGTATATGTAAAATATAAATACGGTAGAAGGTCCACCTCAATGGGCCTGGGAGAGAGTGTGAGGTGGTTGGAGATGTGGGGAATGAGGCTTCTAGCAGTGAGGTGCAGTCTGTCTCTCACTGTGAGGAGGCTGTAGGTGGGGAGGTAGCAACGGGTACCAGCAGTGAGGTGCAGCCCAGCACCTGCTACAAGTGGCGAGTTGTTCACAGTAATGGGAGGCGCATCAGAGTAAGGAAAGTTAAGAGTGAAGATCTGAAGGTAGGAAATCGCTTCTCTGTTCTCCAGGATGAATGTACTTCAGTGGCCAGTGAAGGTAAGGGTACTACTGCCCCTGCTAATGAAGGTAAGCGCATTCTTGTGGTTGGTGACTCTCAGGTAAGACATGTTGACCGTGCTTTTTGTAATAGGAATAAGAAGATGAGAGATAGAGTGTGCTTCCCTGGAGCTGGTGGTTGGGGACATTGTCAACAGACTGGATAATATCATGTCAGGTAATGGGAACAAGCCCATTATCTGTCTCAGTGCTGGTGGAAATGATATTGGGAAGGGTAGGAGAGAAGAGCTGCTAGATAAGTACAGGTCAGCTATAGATTTCATTAAGTCTAAGGGAGGGATCCCAATCATATGTAGCATCTTGCCTAGAAGGGGAGTAGGAAATGAATGGTTGTCTAGGGCAATTGGTGTAAATTGCTGGCTAGACAGATACTGCAAGGAACTTGCAATCCCATTCATTGACAACTGGAACAACTTTTATGGCAAACATGATATGTATGCAAGGGATGGGGTTCATCTCTCTGGGCAGGGGTGGTAGCACTTGCAGACTCGATTGAGAAGGCCATTGGTGAAATGCCTATGATTTTAAACTGATGGAAGATAGAGGTATGGGTGTGTGTGGGAAACAAGCAGGTTGCAACACTAGGGTTGGAAACAGTAAATGTATAAAAGGCATTCAGCATGAAGTTATAAATAAAGACAATAGAACAGGTCAGAAAACAAAGGGGGACAGCAGAGGGCAGCAAGGGACTAGCTCCCTTAAGGTTTACTATACTAATAGCAGGAGTGTTAGAAATAAGATAGATGAGCTAAGATTAATTGCAAGTGCAGGAAACATAGATATTATTGCTATAACAGAGACCTGGCTCAATCTGAAAGATAGAGAGATGCCATCTGAATGTCACATACAAGGCTATAAATTATTCCACACTGACAGGGTCAACAGGAAAGGTGGTGGAGTAGCGATGTATGTCAGAGACAATTTAAATTGTTGTGTTAGACAAGATATTAAATTAGAAGCGTCAGCCACTGAATCTGTTTGGTTACAGCTTCTCGAGGCCGAGAAAAACTAATTTTGGGTGTGTTTTACAGGGCCCCAAATCTTGATAGGGAGTGCAGTAAACTTCTATGGGACGAAATTCGTAAGGCATCTACATACGAAAATGTTGTGCTAATGGGAGATTTCAACTATAGACAGATTGACTGGAGCAATTTGACAGGAAATTTAGAGTCGGGTGACTTTCTTGATACGATCCAGGATTGTTTTTTAAAACAGTTTGTGACAGAGCCAACTAGGGGAAATAACCTCCTTGACTTGGTTCTTGCCAGTTTGGGAAACACTAATTAATAATCTTGAGGTTAATGATGAGCTTGGGGAGAGTGATCACAAATCACTCAGTTTTAACATATCATGGAATTCCCCTAATAATGGCAATCAAGTCTCCGTCCCTGACTTTCGCTTGGCTGATTTCATAGGACTGAAAAATTACTTAGGTGGGCTGAACTGGAATGACCTGACTAGGGGTCAGGTAGGTGGTGATGGTTGCCGATATGATGCTTTCCAGGGCATAGTTCTAGCTGCTCAGTCAAATTATGTTCCAAATAGGGAAATCAGATCAAACAAAAATGATCCTAAATGGATGAACAATAGATTAAAATATCTGATTGGTCAAAAGAGAGGCAATATATAGGCAAATCAAAAGAGGAGAGGGGCAATTAAGAAATCGATATATTCAGTTAAAGAGAGAAATAAAAAAGGGAATTAGAAAAGCAAAAAGAGATTATGAGGTTAAAGTTGCAAGAGAATCGAAGACTAACCCAAAAGGATTCTTTCAGGTATACAGAAGTAAGATCAGGGACAAGATAGGCCCACTCAAAAGTTCCTCGGGTCAGCTCACTGACAGTGATAAGGAAATGTGTAGAATTTTTAACACATACTTCCTCTCAGTTTTTACACAGGAGGATACCAGTGATATTCCAGTAATGATAAATTATGTAGAACAGGACGATAATAAACTGTGCACTATTAGGGTCACAAGTGACATGGTCCTTAGGCAAATAGATAAATTAAAACCTAACAAATCCCCAGGCCCTGATGAACTGTATGCAAGGGTTCTAAAGGAATGTAAAGAGGAGCTTAGCACACCTTTGGCTAATCTTTTCAACATATCACTACAAACTGGCATGGTGCCAGATAAGTGGAAAATGGCAAATGTGATACCTATTTTCAAAACAGGTGACAGGTCCTTAGCTTCGAACTATAGACCAATAAGCCTAACCTCCATAGTGGGAAAATTTATGGAATCAATAATTGCCGAGGCAGTTCGTAGCCACCTTGAAAAGCATAAATTAATCAACGAATCTCAGCATGGTTTTACAAAGGGACGTTCCTGCCTTACGAATTTATTAACTTTTTTCACTAAGGTATTTGAGGAGGTAGATCATGGTAACGAATATGATATTGTGTATATGGACTTCAGTAAGGCTTTTGACAGGGTCCCACATCAGAGACTATTGAGGAAAATTAAAGCACATGGAATAGGAGGAGAAATTTTTTCCTGGATAGAGGCATGGTTGACAAATAGGCAGCAGAGAGTTTGCATAAATGGGGAGAAATCAGAGTGGGGAAGCGTCACGAGCGGTGTTCCACAGGGGTCAGTGTTGGGCCCCCTGCTGTTCACAATCTACATAAACGACATAGATGAGGGCATAAAGAGCGACATCGGCAAGTTTGCCGATGACACCAAAATAGGCCGTCGAATTCATTCTGACGAGGACATTCGAGCACTCCAGGAAGATTTGAATAGACTGATGCAGTGGTCGGAGAAGTGGCAGATGCAGTTTAATATAGACAAATGCAAAGTTCTAAATGTTGGACAGGACAATAACCATGCCACATATAAACTAAATAATGTAGATCTTAATATTACGGATTGCGAAAAAGATTTAGGAGTTCTGGTTAGCAGTAATCTGAAACCAAGACAACAGTGCATAAGTGTTCGCAATAAAGCTAATAGAATCCTTGGCTTCATATCAAGAAGCATAAATAATAGGAGTCCTCAGGTTGTTCTTCAACTCTATACATCCTTGGTTAGGCCTCATTTAGATTATGCTGCACAGTTTTGGTCACCGTATTACAGAATGGATATAAATTCTCTGGAAAATGTACAAAGGAGGATGACAAAGATGATCCCATGTATCAGAAACCTTCCCTATGAGGATAGACTAAGGGCCCTGAAACTGCACTCTCTAGAAAGACGTAGAATTAGGGGGATATGATTGAGGTTTATAAGTGGAAGACAGGAATAAATAAAGGGGATGTAAATAGTGTGCTGATAATATCTAGCCTAGACAGGACTCGCAGCAATGGTTTTAAGTTGGAAAAATTCAGATTCAGGAGGGATATAGGAAAGTACTGGTTTGGTAATAGAGTTGTGGATGAGTGGAACAAACTCCCAAGTACCGTTATAGAGGCCAGAACGTTGTGTAGCTTTAAAAATAGGTTGGATAAATACATGAGTAGATGTGGGTGGGTGTGAGTTAGACCTGATAGCTTGTGCTAACGGGTCGGTTGCCGTGTTCCTCCCTTGAGTCAATGTGACCTGACCTGACTAGGTTGGGTGCATTGGCTTAAGCCGGTAGGGACTTGGACCTGCCTCGCATGGGCCAGTAGGCCTTCTGCAGTGTTCCTTCGTTCTTATGTTCTTATGTTCTTATACTATACCTAGATAAGGTTTCTGTATCTCATTTACCTTACCTGCTGTATTTCCAAGCATTTCTTACACCGTAATATGTGAAGAGCGTGAGGATGCATACTCTGTGTGGTTTTTTTACTGATCACTGTTGCTGTTTATATGGCCCTCTATGTGTTATTAAAAAAAATTGGAGACTGTAATGTATTCACATAAAATTCTAAACTCGTGTGTGACATTCAATTTTGTAAGCACTGAATGTGCTTGCAGAGGAATGTGCCTGCAGAAAAAGTTATGATTTGCATCATTCAGTAGGTTAGGTTAGGTAAGGTTCATCAGGAAACAGGACAAGTATTTCCTGATGTGGGTCTTACTAAGATGATGCCTGTCATTGGAGCTTTTGGTCATCTGACGAAGGCCTTCTGCTGGCTTACCGATCCACCCCTTTAAAAATTTTATTTTTAGTTATTCTTTGCATCATTCAATGAATCACAAAAGACAAGAGTATTAAAAGATTTGTTAATGATCCAGGATAGACAGAAACTTGCAAAATTCCCTCTCCGAACTATGGATTACTTGTGTACTGTTCCAACTATGGTACTTTAAATTTGCTTTGTTTTTATGATTATTTGATCAACTACCATAAATTAAATTAAACCGTACCATGCAATTAGATTTTAGATTTTGCCACCGAAGTGGCTAGTTTATTGTGCACCCCATATCCATCCTGTGGACGGTAGCACAAGAGCATATGGATACACAAAAGGCCCAGGAACTAGGCCCCAAGGGGTTAAAATGAATACATATGGATTTATATCTACAGATCTATAGTTCACTTATATGTTACAAGCAAATTTAGGAAATTTGCTTAGTATATCTGGTATCTTATTTTCATTAATAAGACATCGTGACATGTCACATAGGTTATTATACTGTCTGTCTGTGTATTCCTCAATAAGTGGACAATTAAGCACATAGTGTTCAAGACAGTGACCATATGCCTGATCACATAATTTACATTTAGTTTGATCATCATCTGTGTGTCTCCCAAACTGCCAGAAGTACTTGTAACCAAGCCTAAGCCTGGCCACTACAACATCAGTCAGTACTTGTAACCAAGCCTAAGCCTGGCCACTACAACATCAGTCAGTCTGTTCACATTGCACGTTGCTCCATAAACATACTTATCTACGTTCATGTTTTCATAGTGGTTATAGATCTACTCAGGCTTCTAATTGCATTCCTATAACAATCATTTTCATTATTTACTTCTCTCCTAATATTATTCCTAATGCTAGACACAGTTTTACCAAAGTTATATTCTACATTCTCCTTCTGGGTACTCTTCTTGGCTAACATATCAACCGTACCATGCATATCAATTATTCCAGAAAATTAAAATAGTGACTTACTTCTGTACAATAAAATGCTTAAGTGCATTGCCTAATGTGTGATCTTCTCCATTAATTACAAATGTGCAGCAGTGCTCATTCTGTCCAGGACCAGTTAACTGAAAATAAAAATCATGTCAATCATATATTATCACTAATAAATAAGAAAAAATCTTGATTTTATATATTTTTTTAATTTGTAAAACTATACTGGTCTTATTCACAACATCAGTTGAAAATGGTCCAAAATGATAAAAATTAATGCTTATTCTTGATATAAAAGCAGGTAAATGAAGAGTAAGGTTTTCTACCAATGTATACATCAAATAATGTAGTACCAATAACCTTTTATCTATCCAAATCTCATTAATGTATGCTGAATGGATATTATTTGCCATTATCACCAGAATACAAGTACATACTGTAATTACATATTTGTCATTACCTATGCCTATTTCTATGTATGGGTGCAGAACTATGCTAGTGATGTCACACTGTCATTAATATAGAGTATGTACTGTAAAAAAATTTTAAATCTGCAATGGTTGTAGCACCTAGCACTTCCTCTTGCAATGTATACCATTCTTCTACCACTACAACAACCCTAATGGGAATAGATCACTTTTACTTTTTTTGGGGTTATCTTACGTAATTTACGCATTGGTTACTATGTACGATAATTGTGCTTATGTGTACCTGTACCTAAATAAACTCACTTACTTCTTAATGAAGAAAATTTTTCAATATCCATTTGACTATTTGTTGTAATTTATATCTGTGACCATTTGTTATTCCTGCAATGGGTTTAGCACTTAGTTTTGATTATAATAATAATAATGTTATCCCTGTTGAAGGCATTAAAAAACTTCTTTATCTCATACTGTTTCATAACCTTATATGTTTTATCATACTATTTCCACTTTTCCTCCCATCATCCAGCAAGGTAATCTTCAGTGTTTTCAGCCTTTCATTATAACTTTTATATTTTTTGTGTGCTCTTTGTATTTTTTAAGATCCATATGTCCAATTTTAAGGAATGGACACCACAATGCAGCTGCATACTCCAATTTTGGCCAAATATACATTGCAAGCAACTTTCTTGGCATCTCTTGATCCATATATGTATTTGATTGTCATTTTATAGATAGCTGATGTATCATATATTTCTCACAAATTTCATTTATGGTGTAAAGATCTGGTGAAACTTTTTTATTACCTGAAGTTTACCTGGAGAGAGTTCCGAGGGTCAATGCCCCTGCGGCCTGGACTGTGACCAGGCCACATGGTGGATCAGGGCCTGATCAACCAGGCTGTTACTGCTGGCTGCACGCAATCCAACGTGCAAGCCACAGCCCGGCTGGTCAGGTACCGACTTTAGGTGCTTGTCCAGTGCCTGCTTGAAGACAGCCAGGGGTCTATTTGTAATCCCCCTTATGTATACTGGGAGGCAGCTGAACAGTCTTCGGCCCTGACACTTATTGTGTTGTCTCTTAACATGCTAGTGACACCCCTGCTTTTCATTGGGGGATGTTGCATCATCTGCCGAATCTTTTGCTTTTGTAGAGAGTGATTTTCGTGTGAAAGTTTGGTACTAGTCCCTCTAGGATTTTCCAGGTGTATATAATCATGTATCTCTCCCACCTGTGCTCCAGGGAGTACAGGTTCAGGAACTTCAAGCACTCCCAGTAATTGAGGCGTTTTATCTCAATTATGGATGCCGAGAAGGTTCTCTGTACATTTTCTAGGTCAGCAATTTCACCTGCCTTGAAAGGTGCTGTTAGTGTGCAGCAATATTCCAGCCTAGATAGAACAAGCGACCTGAAGAGTGTCATTATGGGCTTGGCCTCCCTAGTTTTGAAGGTTCTCATTATCCATCCTGTCATTTTTCTAGCAGATGCAATTGATACAATGTTATGGTCCTTGAGGGTGAGATCCTCTGACATGATCACTCCATTTCTTTGTATGATACTCCTATTTTCTTGTATAGTTAACATTCATGTACAGGTACAACACTGATTTTCTGGACGGTGATGGGTCAGAATCTCTTATAATCCATACAAATTTATGAGCAGAAACTTGAAATTCCCGTGACAGTGTATTTACCACCAAACTGTACATCACTTATCCAACCCCAAGACCAAGGAATACAGTGCTCTCTAAAGACAGAAAAATCAGTAATCCGGAAAGGCATTGGAGCCACAAGTTCTGGAAAATTGATGTTGTACTTGTACCTATTATTGTAAGTTTATTTAGGTACAGGTACACATAAATACAGTTACACAAATTATTATACATAGTAGCATGTGTGTAAATAACTCAGTTCACTTACAATTTTCACACAGTTGAGTTACTTAGCTGTTTTAATTTTTAAGGTCATACTGTACCATTAGGCCAATTTGCCCATGAAATATTTTTTTATTCCATGGTATAGATTAGTAAGTTCATTGAGGCACAGGTACACGTAAGTACAATTATCATACATAGCATAAATTACCTAGAATAACCCAAAAAAGTCAAAAGTAACCTATTCTTATTAGGGCTTTTTGTAAAGTCTTAGTATTTTAAGCCTGGCTATAAGTTTCAGTAGGAAATAATCATGATTAAAACCTTAACAGATGAAACAGCTATGTAAATCAATGTGGATTATTATAATTATAATAAAAACTAGGAGCTAAACCCACAAGGGTTATACAGCGCTGCAACTCGACATGGAATATGTCTGATTTCCTCCAAGGAGCAACCTTTAATTACAACCAAAATGGAAATAAGTCACTCTGACTTTTTTTGGGTTATGCTAGGTAACTTACACATATGCTGCTATGTATGATAATTTATGTAACTGTATTTATGTGTACTTGTAACTGAATAAACTTACTAACCTCTGTCCATGATATTAATACTGTAAAAAAAATGACTGCCAAACAAACTATTTCTTTCTGAAGTATTACAAAGTAATTTTATTAAGATAAGATTTTTAACCCCGGAGGGTTAGCCACCCAGGATAAACCAAGAAAGTCAGTGTGTCATCGAGGACTGTCTAACTTATTTCCATTGTGGTCCTCAATCTTGTCCCCCAGGATGCGACCCACACCAGTCAACTAACACCCAGGTACCTACTTGCTGCTAGGTGAACAGGACAACAGGTGTAAGGAAACACGTTGAAATGTTGCCACCCGCCGGTACAGGTACAGATACACATAAATACAGTTGCATAAAATATACATAGCAGCATATGTGTACATTACCCAGGATAACCCAAAAGAAAAAAAGGTCCCAGTAATAACTTATTAAACAATGAAAGGAGATATACTAAGAATAAGGTAAACTGAGTTATTTACATTAACTGTAGTTTACATGTAATGTTGCTAAGTACAAAGGAAAGTCACCAACATTAACACACTTACACATTCTAATTTGTTCTTAAATTGGCTTTCATTAACATTAGGAAGACGGAATCCATCAGCACCAACCGGCATGGTCAAGTAACAACCTTCTTCCCTTCCTCACTCTAATTATGACTTCCCTCACACACTTCACCTTCCTGCACCTCACTTTTCTTCCCTCTGCCACAATACGTGAAGTATGTTTAGGGGTTTCTTCTTAAGTAAGCGGTAAATACTGATGGACAGTGCTTGTTGGTGTTGTTGAGGGGTTATAGGGCTGCTGCACTTGACGCCGTCTTGACCACTGCTTCATACAAGGTATATAGACCATACCTGACATCAATGACATACTACTACATAGAGAACCCCTTGTTATGCTGAGCATTTCCCGCAAATTAGGTCAGTTTTGTCCCAGAATGCGACCCACACCAGTCCACTAACTAACCCACTAACCCAGGTATCTATTTCACTGATGGGTGAACAGGGACAGCAGGTGTCTTAAGGAAACATGTCTTGATGTTTCCAGCCGTACCGCGGATCGACCCCCGGACCTCATGGGGCTGGCTATGATAACCATCTTCATGGAACTGGCTATGATAACCATCTTCATGGAACTGGCTATGATAACCATCTTCATGGAACTGGCTATGATAACCATCTTCATGGAACTGGCTATGATAACCATCTTCATGGAGCTGGCTATGATAACCATCTTCATGGAACTGGCTATGATAACCATCTTCATGGAACTGGCTATGATAACCATCTTCATGGAGCTGGCTATGATAACCATCTTCTTGGGGCTGGCTATGATAACCATCTTCATGGGGCTGGCTATGATAACCATCTTCATGGAGCTGGTTATGATAACCATCTTCATGGAGCTGGTTATGATAACCATCTTCATGGAGCTGGTTATGATAACCATCTTCATGGAGCTGGTTATGATAACCATCTTCATGGAGCTGGCTATGATAACCATCTTCATGGAGCTGGTTATGATAACCATCTTCATGGAGCTGGCTATGATAACCATCTTCACGGGGCTGGCTATGATAACCATCTTCACGGGGCTGGCTATGATAACCATCTTCACGGGGCTGGCTATGATAACCATCTTCACGGGGCTGGCTATGATAACCATCTTCACGGGGCTGGCTATGATAACCATCTTCACGGGGCTGGCTATGATAACCATCTTCACGGGGCTGGCTATGATAACCATCTTCACGGGGCTGGCTATGATAACCATCTTCACGGGGCTGGCTATGATAACCATCTTCACGGGGCTGGCTATGATAACCATCTTCACGGGGCTGGCTATGATAACCATCTTCACGGGGCTGGCTATGATAACCATCTTCACGGGGCTGGCTATGATAACCATCTTCACGGGGCTGGCTATGATAACCATCTTCACGGGGCTGGCTATGATAACCATCTTCACGGGGCTGGCTATGATAACCATCTTCACGGGGCTGGCTATGATAACCATCTTCACGGGGCTGGCTATGATAACCATCTTCACGGGGCTGGCTATGATGACCATCTTCACGGGGCTGGCTATGATAACCATCTTCACGGGGCTGGCTATGATAACCATCTTCACGGGGCTGGCTATGATAACCATCTTCACGGGGCTGGCTATGATAACCATCTTCACGGGCTGGCTATGATAACCATCTTCACGGGGCTGGCTATGATAACCATCTTCACGGGGCTGGCTATGATAACCATCTTCACGGGGCTGGCTATGATAACCATCTTCACGGGGCTGCTATGATAACCATCTTCATGGGGCTGGCTATGATAACCATCTTCATGGGGCTGGCTATGATAACCATCTTCATGGGGCTGGCTATGATAACCATCTTCATGGGGCTGGCTATGATAACCATCTTCAGGCTGCTATGATAACCATCTTCATGGGGCTGGCTATGATAACCATCTTCATGGGGCTGGCTATGATAACCATCTTCATGGGGCTGGCTATGATAACCATCTTCATGGGGCTGGCTATGATAACCATCTTCATGGGGCTGGCTATGATAACCATCTTCATGGGGCTGGCTATGATAACCATCTTCATGGGGCTGGCTATGATAACCATCTTCATGGGGCTGGCTATCATGCTATGATAACCTTCCTTGAAAATAGACGGTATAACGGTACCAACAATATAAATGAAAGGATGCATGTTCATTATACACTCACGACATCTTTATTGAAAACATCTCGCTCCTGGGACCATGGTCACTGCAGATTATACAAGAGAATGAGAGAACACAGTAAGTATCGTGGAGGAAATGGGTCAGATAAGATAAGATAAGATTTCGTTCGGATTTTTAACCCCGGAGGGTTAGCCACCCAGGATAACCCAAGAAAGTCAGTTCGTCATCGAGGACTGTCTAACTTATTTCCATTGGGGTCCTTAATCTTGTCCCCCAGGATGCGACCCACACCAGTCGACTAACACCCAGGTACCTATTTGCTGCTAGGTGAACAGGACAATAGGTGTAAGGAAACGTGTCGGAATTTCCACCCGCCAGGAATCGAACCCGGGCCCTCCGTGTGTGAAGCGGGAGCTTTAGCCACCAGACCACCGGGTCACCCCGGTGGAAACGTCAGGTCACCTACTAGCCGTGTTACCGGTAACAAGTACTAGAGAATCTTCTGAGTCGTTCTGGCACTCGGGCTGCGGCCTGAGTGCCAGGAATGAATCAAATGGGGTTGGACATTATTATTATTATTATTATTATTATTATCATCATCATCAAGGGGAGCGCAAAACTCGTAAATGGGGTTGGAAGACTCACCGCACCCTTGTCATAGGGTTGTCCCCGCCATAGGGCTGTTAAGAGTACACCACTTGACATGAATGCTCACCGTGCCTCTGCCTTAGAGTTGTAAACGGTACATCACTTATACGCACTCCGACACTCCTGGTAACCACTGCCGGGTCATCACATAGAGAAGTTCCTGGCCAGGACCCATTCCAGCAAACCTACATGAACCTAAACCAGCAACACATGCACAGCACAGCTGTTGCACATGACTTTTGAAAGGAAGAAGACACGAGGATGTTCTAAGAACACAGCCCAGGACTCTGGTGTCTGAATGTGAGGCGTAATTCTGGCGAAGCCGCGAGACCACTCCCTGGACTCATCGGACAGCGAGACCACTCTCTAGACTCACCGGACAGCGAGACCACTCCCTAGACTTATCAGACAGCGAGACCACTCCCTGGACTCATCGGACAGTGAGACCACCACTTCCTGGACTCATCGGACAGCGAGACCACTCCCTGGACTCATCGGACAACGAGACCACTCTCTGGACTCATCGGACAGTGAGACCACCACTCTCTGGACTCATCGGACAGCGAGACCACCACTCCCTAGACTTGTCGGACAGTGAGACCAGCATTCCCTGGACTCATTGGACAGTGAGACCATTCCCTGGACTTATCTGACAGCGAAACCACTCTGGACTTATCGGACAGCGAAATAAGCTAAACCAGCCGGGCAAGTGAGATACGGATGCCCATAACAACTACAGATATACGTACTGATGACGAAGGTTGGTAAGAAGTACGATCCCCGAAGTCAAAGAGAAAACACAGTGTTTCTTTACCTCAGATTAGGCAAAACAAACAATACACGGGCAAAACACTCAGGCAGATCAATAAAGAAATACCACGACTCCCAGTATGCTGTTGTAATACACCTCCAAGCTGAGGGACTGACCACCTTATCTTTATTTCACTACTACACCTGCTCCCTCTGTATTTGACTGAAGAAACCTACTGTGTAGGCGAAACGTTTCATCAGTAAAGATACCCATCAGTTGAAAATGTTTTAATCTTCAACTTGTCAGTATTTTATATAATTTTGAAGATAACGTTGTATACCGCTGAACAAACCCTGAGACAACGACACTTCGTCAATAAAAATACCAACAAAGATGGAGATATATAGCATAAAATACCGACACTGTGGAAAAATAGACACAAATGCAGCATAATGCAATCCTTTATTGACTATGTTTCGCCTACACAGTGGTCTTTATTAAGTCACGCACTCTTTGCCCAAGTAGATCTGCTTGTGACTTGATAAAGTCCACTGTGTGGGCGGAACGTTGTTAATATAGGATCCCCTCTACGAGCCCCGTGAGGGCGGGAATGTGGCTAGGCCTGGGGACAGTTGGTCCCAAAGATGAGGGGGGACTTGTACCTCCTCCCATGGGAGACTTAAGTCTCGAGACACTCCCCAGATAGGGAGCCAAGGCCGGGTCACCACTACTTGGAAAAGACCCGGGTCGGGAGAATACCGGCGAATAAAAAAAAAAAAAATAGGATCCCATGATACTGCGTTTGTGGTTATTTTCCCACCAACAAAGATACTGTATACCAACTTTTATACCATCAATAATATGACAGTTTGAACAAATAACCTTCACGTACCTGTTGTCCTGTTCACCTAGCAGCAAATAGGTACCTGGGTGTTAGTGGACTGGTGTGGGTGGCATCCTGGGGGACAGGATTGAGGACCAAAATGGAAATGAATAAGACAGTCCTCGATGACGCACTGACTGTTTTGGGTTATCCTGGGTGGCTAACCCTCCTGGGTTAAAAATCCGAAGAAAATCTTATCTTACCTGGAGAGGGTTTCGGGGGTCAACGCCCCCGTGGCTTGGTCTGAGACCAGGATTCATGGTGGATCAGGGTCTGATCAACCAGGCGGTTACTGCCGGCCGCACACAAACTGACGTACGAACCACAGTCCGGTTAGTCAGGTACTGACTTTAGGTGCCTGTCCAGTACCTTCTTGAAGACAGCCAGGAGTCTATTGGTATATATACTGGGAGGCAGTTGAACAGTCTTGGGCCCCGGACACTTATTGTGTTGTCTCTCAATGTACTCGTGGCGCCTCTGCTTTTCATCGGGGAAATGTTGCATCTCCTGCCGAGTCTTTTGCTTTCACAGGGAGTGATTTTCGTGTGCAAGTTTGGTACCAATTCCTCCAGGACCTTCCAAGTGTATATTATCAAGTATCTCTCTCGCCTGCATTCCAGAGAATACAGATCAAGGACCTTCAACCGTTCCCAGTAGTTTAGGTACCTTACCGCACTTATTTGTGCCGTGAAAGTTCTTTGTACACTCTCCAGGTCTACAATGTCGCCAGCCTTGAAGGGGGTCGTTAGTGTACAGCAGTATTCCAGCCTAGAGAGAACAAGCGATTTGAAGAGAATCATAATGGGCTTGGCGTCCCTTGTTTTGAAGGTTCTCATTATCCATCCTATCATTTTCCTAGCGGATGAGGTAGAG